GCCACACCAGCTGCTGGCATCCTGCAGGGAGCAGGGCCAGCGCCCCCAGGGGAAGCCCGGCCACGCGCGCCGCCCTGCTCTGCCGACCGCGTCACGGGGGGCCTCCTCACAAGGACTCGCCGTCCCATGTCCGTGCTCAGGCTCCGCAGAGCAGCACAGCTAGGTCTCTGCCCAGCGAGGTGGGGCGGGCACATTTCTCTCTGGCTGCTGACAAAACCTCACGCTTTCTCCAGGGTGAGTGCGTCTGAGGTGTGCCACCAGCACAGGCAGCGGGCGGGGGAAGCGCCCAGAAACTCCCATCCCCTAAAACCAAAGACTCTGGAGGGAAGGGCGGCCGCTTTCTTCCCATCTGTCGGCCCCCAAAACACCCTTTTAGCCAGGACCAATCATGCAACTGGCAAGAACCAGCCCTCCGGGACCCCCAGGGATCAGCCCTCGGGGACCCCTGGGGATGGTCAGGCTGGAGCTGGCCTGAAGCCCCAGCAGCTAAGGAACCACAGCCTGCACGCGGCGAGCTGGGGTGGGGGGCCCTCACCTCCAGGTTGATGAAGACAGCTGCCATGTCCGCCGGGCTCAGCACCAGTCTCAGGGGGGTCATGTAGTTCTGCAAGAGAGAACCCCATCACTGCCGTCCCGCCCTAGGGGACACCAATCACCTTCCAGACCACAGTCTCCAGTGGGAGGGGCTCCAACACCCTCCGAGCAGACGGGTGACCGGCAGGCAGCATCCCGTGGCGCCGCAGTCCCCCCGTCAAGGGTCCGCGGATGGGGCTCCCCGCAGGGCAGCTCCTCAGCCCGGCACACAGCTCAGTGCTGACCGGAGAGCGCGTGCCTCCTGGGGAGGTCCGGGCACCACCCTGCAGGGCGAGCACAGTGCGGGACGTGCGGGCCCGGGTGGGATCGGCCTGAGCATCCAGGCAAGCACACTCCCCACCGGGGGGGCAGGCTGCACGGAGGGCCCCGCGCACGAGCCACTGGACCTCAACCCTACAGACCCCTGGCTGGGCTTTGCCACTGCTGCTGGGGCTCCCCGGGAGGAGAGGGCGTCGCCCAGGGCTCTACCTTAGGATGGAGACAGGGCCACGATGCCCACTAGTTCCTGAGTCTGCACTCCGGAGTGTACCCCTAAGCCTGCCATCAGAAGAGGCACTGCCCAGCCCAGTAAGCCCCCAGTGGCGGGGGCGCTTCTGCCTGAGGCTCTGAGCCCAGACTCGGACGAGGTGCCCACACGTGGAGCTCAGCCCCTGCCCCGGAAGCCCCTGCAGGAACCCTCCCCTCTCTCTGCCCCTTCTCCAGCAGGGTCCTGCCCCCTGGACCGATCCTGGGCCGCCGTACAGGCACTGGCCTCTCCGGCTCGGTTTCCTCACCTGTGACATGGGGACAGCAGTGTCCCTTGGGGTGGTCAGGGGAGGATTACAAACGTGGTTGTTCCCAAGAGTGTCCAGCACACCACACGCCCCGAGCTCAACCCCCGACGTGCACTGTGCCTGCCACGGGCCGCGCCTGCCCTCCAAGGCCGCGTTCCAGGGGTGGAGACAGTTTTTCTGCCACGGGACTCGGGCTGTGTAGAGCCTGCGGGGCCCTGGAAGGAGCTGACCCGGGAGCCGGACTCGAAGGAGAGGGTCTGCTGGGGGAGGGGTGGGCAGGGTGCAGCTGGGATGACGTGTCTGCGGAAAGGCTAGCAGGCGGGGGCCTGAAGGGCGAGGGTTGGGTGGGGGAGGAGGAGGGGAAAGGTCAGAGACCTGGGGCCAAGGGGCATCTTAGGACTCCTGGCTGGAGGCTCCACAGGGCCCTAAACAGTGGGGACCCCCCCTGGTATCCCCATCACGGCCACAGGTGGCCCTGCGCTGTGACCCGGGCTAGGCAGGGAGGTTCTACCTCAAGAACGATCCTGCTTCCTTCACCCCAGTAAGCACCAGCAGCTGGCAGTGAGGACGCCCCAGTGACAGGGAAATGGCGTCAAGCCAGCGCCCACTGGAGGCCAGGACGGGGCAGGGGAGGAGGCCCACTGTGGTCCTGCAGGAACTGGGCAGGCCGGCGCGGAGACAGCACTGACCAGCCACTTAGGGGAGCGCAGGGTCAGCCTCGGGGGTTCCAAAGACTCACGTCATCGGGCCCAGCTATGTCCCAGGTGCAGGCCACTCACAGCCACCTACAGGGGGCACTGCCGTCTCCCACTTACAGAGGGGAGGCCAGGTGCAGAGTGCCCAGCTGAGAAGGTATGTGTAAGGAGCTTAGCTCAGGGCCTGGCCTGGCTGAGAGCATACAGAAGGTGCTTAGCTCTGGGTGAGGGCGCAAACATAAAAAAATGAGCCGCAGTGACGCTGGGCTTAGGCTGGGAAGAACTGCAGAGACCCGCTCAGGACAGCCCAGGGCCAGAGCTGAGGCCGAGGGACGGGAGGTGGGACCCCGGCCGACGTGGCGGCTGACACGGAAACTGACCTGGATGGAGCTTGTGGGGAGGGCAGAGGGCAGAGGAAAGGTGAGGGCGACCTCCTTTTTGGCTACGAAACCGAGAGGGCCACCGCGCACCCCCTCCACCACCGTCGCCCCGAGGCCCTGCCTGGAGACAGGGACCCGGTGGCCAAGGCCCACGCCCACCTTCTCAATGTCCTCCAGGGTCCGGCAGTACTTGGCCTCAGTCTCCTGAATCTCCAGCAAGCAGCAGCTCCTCTTGTCGTCCTCTGTCATCCCCATTTTCTAGAGGAAGGATGCGGGACATGAGCCAGGACCCGCCAGGCCCACCGCCTGCTGATGCCCAGGCCCGGCCGTGGGGTCGCCGAGCTGAAAGGGTGCAGCCAGGCGGGAGGCGGGACAGGCAGGCCCTTGCCTCCCTTCTGCAGCGGAGGAAACTGAGGCACGGGCAGGGGACGTGGCGTGAGCCTGGCACCGGTGACAGTGCAGAGGACCAGTCAGAGACTTCTGAATCTCGGTCTCCACCAGACCGGCGTGAGGCCCTCAGAAGCGGCCCCCTCCAGCACGTGCAGGCGGGCACATCACACCTTCCCAAGGCCCGAAGCCCGGCTCAGCCTGGGAACGCGGCACTGAGGGCCCAGGACCCCCAAAACTGTGTAAGGATGTGTGCCTGACAGCACCTCCCTGGGGACAGGGTCCTGAGTTGTTTCAAAGGGGTCTGAGACCTCCCTGAAGGTGGAGGAAGGCGGCGCTGGCAGGACTTACCCCGGCCTTCCTCCACCTGCCACTTACCTGCATGTATCTAATCTGAAAGCGTGAAGGAAGAAACAGGAGAAAGAGCCAGTTAGCAGTGCTTATTCTCATTCAAGCTGTGCTTGGGGGAGGCCAGGGGGCTGCACACTTTGCCAGCAGCCCCAGAGGTCACACCACACCCTCCGCGCATCGGCCTGGCTGGGTGGGATGGAGGGACAGTGCCGGGACCGAGCACGGGGCAGCCTCCCCTTGGGTGGGGTCCGAGAGTGGCACCTGCCACCCCCTGGCTTTATCCTCCTTTGGAAACACCATCCTTCCTCGTGTCTCCCACTTAGACTGTTCAGAGAGCCCCAGACATGAGAGGGGAGGAAATAAAACAGCTGTTTTATGTCAGAGGACCTGGTGGGTGGCCGGAGGCCCACCCTGCCTGGACAGACAGGACAGCTCGTGGGTCCAGCACCGAGCACTGGGACCCAAAGCAGCACAGGGCAGGTGGGACGTGGGCCTGTCCCCAGCACACAGGCGGGCATCTGCCCCAGCCCCGCAGGTCCTGCCGTGTGCCTTCAGGACCAGGGACAGCAGCAGGCTCTGGGGAGCGCCCCCTAGGGCCTCCACAGGCCGGGCGGACGGGGTCTCTCGGGAGTCTGCACAGCTGGGGGCGGTCCCCAAGACAACCACCCAGAACTCTACACCCCATGCCCTTGCTTGACCTGCAGGACAGCAAGGTCCCAAAGGGCCCGGGGGGTGCGGTGGCCTGTCTCAGCTTGCTGCCAAAGACGGAAGGCCGGCCTTTCAGGGCAGCTCCAGGGAGGCTAAGCAGGGCCCCCTGCAGCCGGGCACCAGCCTGGCCTTCCAGCCCTCGTGGCCCACTGCCCTGGAAGGCTCGGGAGCAGGGCTGCCCACTGCAAGGCTGCCCGGGGGAGGGCAGACCAGGGGTCACAGACCCACAGCTGCCTCCGGAGCGAGATCCCTAGCACCTATGGAGAAGGAAACCCACCTTCAGACGCGTGAGAGGCCACATGAGAAAACGTCCTTGACGGCAGAGTCTGGAGGCTGTGAGCCGCCGCCCAGCACCCCTGCCCCTCTCCCGGCAGGGGAGCCCCTCTGAAAGGCCTCTGGGAGCTGTCTCCCAGAATTCTGCTTCTCCATCCCCAGCTGGTTACTCCCACACCAACGAAAAACACTGAAATTTGCTTTCTGAGAAATTTCCCCCATTTCTTGGGTGAAAACAAATGGTACCAAAAGCCTCTGCAGTTGGTACGCGGCATCTCGGCCGCCCCAGGAGCCTGGGGGTGTGAGGGGGCTGTGGCCCGCCCCACCAGGTCCCCGTCTCCCATCCTGGCCCAGCAGGGCCACCCCCTCTCCCCCAGCTCGGCAGCTGTGGGCGACACAATGGAGCTGCAGCAGACAGGCGTCCGAGAGATGATTAGCCAGCGCCCGTTGGAAAGAAGCACCCGCTCCTGAAAGATGCGCAGCTGGCTAGCCGAGCCAAGGGCGGCTCGCCGCTCTCTGCACAAAGGGGTGGAGGGGTGCGGGCTGCTGAGACCAGCAGAAGTCACTGCCTGGGCTCCCTGGGCAGGACCACGAGCCCCGGGCGCCCTTCAGAGACTGCCACGGCCGCGCGTCTGGGGAGGTGTCGTGCCGGGGCGGTCACAGTCTCCCTAGAACATTCCAGAGGGAAGAAGGGCTCCTGGCCGACTGGCCCGAGGGGAGGACCCCCATGGGGGCCGGGAAGGACCCGGTGCAGCTCCCTGTTGGTGGCTCAGACGCTGGGGTCAGCGCAGAGGCTGTGACGCGGCGCGGGGCGGGCGGGGCGCAGCGCAGGGCGGGCGGGGCGCGCAGGGGCTCACCATGGGCTGCTGCACCTCCACCTTGATGATGTCCTCGTAGATGTCGTCCCCTTCATCTTCGCACGGGACGCAGTCGTAGATGTCCTCTCCCACGTCATGTTCGCTGCACAGGAGGGAAGCAGGTCAGAGGGCTGAGCGGCCGTCAGCGCCACCACAAGCCACTCCCTCTCGGCCTCAGTCCCTTGGTCTAAGGACAGGGCGCACCCCCTGCCTCCCGGGGTGTCTGTGAGTTTCACTCGGGCAGCCTGGGGAGCATCTGGTGCCCTTCCTGCTGCGCTTCTAGAAGGTCCCACCGTGACCACGCCCAGCTTCTGCAGCCCTTGAGTAAATGCAGGGGCCACACGCCGGGACCTGAGGTGAGACATCGCCCTGGGGAATCTTTGCACAGCCAATCAACAGGCGTGCCCAGCCTGGGGCCTGCGCTCCCGTCCCCCGCGGCCCACACCTGTGACCTGGAGGCCCGAGGACTCCTGGCTCAGCCCAGGGTCCCCCAGCCCTCGCAGAGGAAGTGTGAAGGTCAAAGTGCAGAGCTCACACGTGAACATCTTCCCTTCCAGGCGGCAAAGAAGTGGAGCAGAGGGGCTCGAAGTTTGTGACAGGACTCACCAACCCAGCAAGGAAGCTACTGCTTAATTTGTAGTTCAGTAATAAACCTTTGTTTCAGCTCATGATCTTGCCAGCAAGTCATCCCCTCTGATCTGCAAGACTTAGGTCATCGGACACCTCCCCCAAGAGGCCTTCGGGGCTCCACCGCCCGGTCTGCGATCCGGGACTCTCCCTGACACTCCTGTACGAAGTGCACCCCTCTCACCGCTTCTGCACTTGCTCTGTAAGTGCCCGTGGATGAGCCTGCCTCTTCCCCAGGAGAAACCCCGCTTCTTAATTCCGCTGACCTCCACGCCTGACCCAAGGAGGTGCTTGGTAAACATTTCACTGAATCAGCACACGCGCCGACCGAACCACCCACCAGTTCCCTTGGGGCCGGCACAAACCGCCCCCCATTCCGCGAGGGTCACTCTGGCCTGGGGCTAAGGGACGGGAGCCACCCTGGGCCCGGGGCGGCCAGCAGTTCAGTCTGCCGTGGGGTCCGTCCTCAGCGCAGCCATGCTCCGGGCCAGCTCACCCTGGAGGCCCGTGCCAGCCCCGCGCACCTCTCTGTGCGAGGACACACCCCATGGCCTGGCCCGGAGCAGGCCCGGCACAGTTCTCTTCCGAAAGGCTTCAGAATGAGGTGGAGCAGCCCCCTCCCCACCGGCAGAGCCGGAGTCCCAGGGACAGGGGAGGGACGGAGGCCAGGGCAGAAATGACACCACCCGCTCTTAGGAATGGGTTCCTGGCCCCGCCCCACACCCAGCTTTTGAATATTAACTGTCATTCTATAGGCTGGGGTGGGCAGGGTGGGTGGGAAGAGAGCGCTGAAAATCTAGCGGACAGGGAGTATTCAAGGAAGGCCTTCCCGGCCGGAGGGGCTGGTCTCCCCAGAGCCCTGGACGCCTCCCCGTGGGACCGAGCTGCAGTGGGGCTGTGGGCAGGTGCATCTGGACTTCTCTCTGGGCGGTTCCGGGGCTGGGCCAGCTCCCATCTTGGTGAGACCTCCACAGGCGGCTGCTTTGGGGTCCTTCCCTCTATGCTCTACAGCCACTCCAGGTGTGAGGTAGCCAAAAGCTGGCCAGAGGACAAAGCCAGGTCACACTGTGCCGGACCAGCCGCCGGACTCTTGTAACTACGATGTAACAGCCGCCCACCCACTGACGAGACACTTCGGACCCAGTGCACGTGTCAGGCACCGGAAAGCATGTCTGCCTTTCAACCTCACAGACCCTTGGCGGTGGAGAGCACCGGCCGTCTCAGGTGAAAGTCGCACCGAGGCCCCAGCAGCTACCAGGAGAGGTGAGGGGAGCTCAGTCAGGCTGGTCCTCACCCTCTCCCGTCCGCCCTCCACCGCAGGATGAGTATCTGGATGTCGGCAGTCCTGAGAATGCATCCTGGGGTGCAAATCAGTACCCAGACGGTGACAGAGCCTCCCCGCTCCCGCTGGAACCAACGAGAAGGCAAGGAGGAGCATCTGCAACTCCTGGATTTGCTCACTCCCCGCCTCGGAGGTCCGTCCCCCAAGGCAGGCCAGGGGAACGGTCACTTATGTTGACACAAACCACCCCCGCCTCTCCAGATGCTGTCCCCAAAGGAAACAGTTCCCGCAGCTCTGCCCGCCAGGTTCCTGGGGTCCAGGCGAGTCCCTGCAGGGGTCCCTTCCTCTGGGTTTCAGACACCCCGGATTTCTGTCTTGCAGCCAAGCGAGGCTGGTGACAGAGGCCCCATCGAGAATTCTGACAGCGTGGAGCAGAGGGGAGACAGGGAAGCTCCTGGGCTGCTAACTTAGACACCCCGAAGGCACATCAGGCTGCTCGTAAGGTCTGGAGACACATCGGCTTTGCTCTGATGGGCCGGTGGAAGGAAGGTGGTGGGGCGCGTGACAGTTAAATAGTTGAAGAGCCGATGAAATGAATAAAAATGACAATGCCAGCCTGGAAAGAGTCCTCCAGGTCACCAGTGCAGCAACGGCAATCTGCCAGCCCAGGAGCCCCGGTCCTCACCCTACGTTTGGGGAAGCACCCTAGTTGATCCTAGGATTCCATCCCACTCAGCCCGGAATCCCTTTCAGCAAAGGCCTCCGTGCCGCCCCCACCACCAGGCAGCCGGAATCAGGGCCCAAGATGCAACTCGCTCATCTCCCAGAGGAACTCAGGCTCTCCGTCGTGGGGTGGGGAGACCGGGGCGGACATGCGGGAACTGGCCACGGTCTTGCAGAAGCCGTGTTCCTGTTCCGGGGCCTCCCGGTCAGGTGGACGGGTCCCCTGCTTTCATTGGCCGAGTCCCCGATGACGCGGGCACTGAGGGCTCTTCAGAGAAATACAAGAGGCGATCTGTTGATCTTGAGGTAAGGCGGGCACCTGCCCCACGTGGAGCCAAAGCAAGAGCTGCAGTATTCCTAGGAGGGAGAGGACAGCGAGGGCTGGAGGGGTCAGAAGCTTCCAGGACGGGTGGGACTTGAAAGGTGCTTGGAAGCCGTGTGGACTGCAGGGTCCTAGGAAGGTGCCCTTCTACGCCTCCCTCCTTCCTGGCGCCATCCTCAGATCCTGGCACACCGACGTCTACAGAGCTCCCGCTGCGTTCTAAGCACGGGGCAGAAAGCCTTCGCACAGGTCTCTCACCGTGTTTTGACGACGGTTTGCACAGATCGAGCTGCACCCTTAGGCGTACCGTTCTGACGAGGGGACAGACACACCGGTATTGTGCACACCCCGCCATGTCACAGACATTCTCATCTCCGGAGACGCCCCCTCCTCCCTGATCCACCCCTAGTAGCCGGCCCCACCACAACGGCTCCTCACCGCAGGCTACTTCCGTCTGCTCTAGAACGTCATACCAGCCGCCTCGTGCGTCATGTCGCTTCCGTGTCTGGCCTCCTGCCCTCACGTCACGCCTCTGAGATCCACGCAGTTGCCTCCACCGCAGGTCATCCCTCTTTACTGCTGGCCCTAATCCATGCTCTGAAGGCGCCGCAATCTGACAGCCACTCTCCTCCTGAGGAGCACCTGGGTGGCCTCCACGTTCTGGTCGTTCTCAGTAAAAGCTGCTATGAGCATCCCTCTTCTTTTCCTTTCCGTGGACTGAAAGCGCCCGGGGAGCGGAATGGCCGGATCACAGGCGGGTGTGTTCAGCTTCATCAGCAACTGCCACGCGCTCTCCCAAAGCGGCCGCGGCATCTACTGCCCCCCGAGCAGCGTGCACCGGCGAGTTGTTCCTGGTCCTCCCCAGCTCTGGCGCTCCCCAGACTTTTACATTTTAGCCACTGGGGTGGGTATGTAGTGAAATGCACCTGCGGTTGCTTTTGCACCTCCCTCCTCATTGATGACGCTGAGGATTTCCCCATGTACCGACGCGCACCTGTGCATCTTCCCAGGTGGAAGGCTTGCTCCAGGCTTTTTCCACTTCTAACGATTGGTCGCCTTTTTCTTATTGAATCCTAGGAGTTCTTTGTATATCATGGATACAAGTCTTTTGTCAGATTTGTTTTGTGATTTTTTTTTCAGTCTCTGGCATGGCTACTCATTTTTTTTCATGGTGTCTTTTGATAAGCATTCATTCTGAATTTTAATGAAAGCAAATCTATCGCATTTTTCTTCTTCGGTGTCCTGATGCTACCCCGTGTCCCATCTAAGAAGTCTTCATGCCTCAAGTTAGAAATCGTTGCTTCCTTCCATGCTGCAAGGAATTTTCTCCTACGTCCTCTCTAAGAACTCTGCGGTTTCAGTGTTTATGTTCAGGTCTCCGATCCATCGCAAATTAATTTTTGTGTATGGTGTGAGCTAGGGGTTGGGGTGCACGTCCCCATCCCCACATGGATACCCAGGTGTTTCAGAACAATTTGTTGAACACTTTCTCTTCCTCGTTGGATGGCTTGGATCCCGTGGACAAAAGCCAGTGGGCACGTGGGTGTGGGTGTGCTCTGGCCCCTCGGTAGAGTCAGCTGTACTTATGCCACTCAATTGCTTTCGTCTCATCGAGAGTCTTGAATTCAGGGAGCGTAAATGCTCTAGCTCTGTTCATTTATAGGACTGTTCAGACTATCCTCAAGTCCTTTGTGTTTCCACACAAACTTTACGGTCACCTTGTCCATTAAACGAAAAGAGAGACTGCTGGAATTGTAACAGGAGCTGTAGGCGAATCTACAGTTTAACCTGGGGAAAACTGACATCGTAACAGTATCGCCTTCCAATCCATGAAGACAGTATACACTTTCGTTGATTCGGGTCTTTAGCTTCTCCCGGCGACACCCTGCAGTTTTACCACCGAGGCTTCGGGGTGTAGGAGGCGTGTTTTTGCCCCGCCTATTCCCTCCCCCTTCAGCTTCTGGGATTCCGGTTATACCTGCTAGACAACTTGACGCCGCCCCATGTCTGAGGCTCTGCACATTTTCCAGTCTCCTTTCCTCTGTTATCTAGAGTGTGCAACTTCCACTGAACTATTTTCAAGTTCAATGACTCTCTCCTCTGCCATCTGCAATCTCCTATTAATGAACGGGGACTGTTCATTTAAGTTATCGTGCTTCTTGGTCCGGGAAATTCCATTTGGCCCTTTTTTTAATAGTTTCTGTTTCTCTGCTGAGGCTCCCCATCTGTTCCTTCGTTTGGCACACACTTTAGTGGGAGTCCCCAACCGTATTTGTAAAAGCTGCTCATTGTGAGGCCAAGTCACCTCAAGGTGGGTTCCCACTGCCCCGTTTCCTTCTTCCCTTGACTATGACTCACTTTTTCTTGTTTCTTTGCAAGTTGGATGCTTTTTTTTATCGGACGCTGGACAGTCTGAATGATTTATGACGAGGACTCTGGGTCTGACTCTCTCTCCTGAAGAGGAATATTTGTTCTGACAGTTAGCTTGGTCGGCTGGACCCAGACTTCACACTGCATCTTCCCTGCCGTGGGCAGCAGCCGAAATGGCTGCTAAATTAAGTTTCCAGCTGCTTTTTTTTTTTTTTTTTTTTTTTGCTGGAAACCTTAGGGACTTCCCTGCGTTTCATGGTCAACCCGGGATTTAGGTGGATTATATAAGCAGATTCAGGTCTGTGGGTCCCTCCCCGCCAGCATTCCCCTCCTAACTTTCTGGGCTGTTCTCTCAGCCCCAGCTTCTTTCCTCTGACACCTCAAGCCAGTGAGAGTGCAGCTTTTCGCGTGGATGAAGATGTGCCCTCAGCAAAGGACAACAAACTCTCCAGTCCCATCCACGGTGAGCGCCCCTCGAAGAAACGGCAGGTTCCTGCGGGTGGGAGAGATGACTCTCTTTCCCTTCTTTGTACTCACGGAGCGAACAAGACCACAAGACTGAGACACCGGGAGTACACCCAGGTGGCTCCCCAGACACACGTCCACCACCATAACCTCGGCTGTTTCTCTTCCTCAAAACCAATAAAGACAAAGCACAGTCATTCACACGGGGTCCATTTTCACGCACCACATTCACCTCTTCTAATTCACTCTGGGCGCTGAGGTTAAAAATAGGCAGCCAGAAACAGGAGACGAAGAGCTGTGTTCCGGCATCTGAACTTGGGACAGAAAAATCTCAAAAATGCAGACACCATCACCTCTCTCCATTCCACAAAATGTCTGTTGCCCACAGCCGGCTGAAGGCTGCGGACATGAAGGTAGGGGTCACGCCTGTAACAGCCTAACTTCACCCTTGAGTCATGAGGGCCCTCACCATCCTGCTCTCCGCACTTACAGTGCTTTGCACTTATGAAAATACTCTCCAACCATTATTTAATTCAGGCCAATGAACACTAAGAAACATAGGTTCCTGCATATTATATGAAGTCATAAAACGGTAACACTAAAATTTCGTCCTGTGCGTGTTCCACGTTAGGGGAGAAGGAGAAGTAAAAGAAACAGCAAAGAAGTGGGTTTTTTTTAAAATGAAAACAAGTAATGAAAAGGAGTCTGTATGTATTTACATGCGTAGCTGAATCGCTGTACTGTACGCCGGAAACTAACACTACATTGTAAGCCACCTGCACTTCAATTTTAAAAGAGAAGGAAAAAAATGAAAACACAATCACAAAGCAAAATTAAACACATCTGTTAAACTCAGCAATTAAGCTGAAGAGACTATCAGACTGGAGGGTTTAATCAACACTCTTCCTAAGAAGAGCTCTGTGCCAGGAGGTGGCGTTAGGGCCCGGGGGATGCAGAGAAGACAGAGGAGCCAGCGAGGTCTGTCCCAGTCCAGCTGGGGAGACGGTCGGGGCAGAAGGTATGTCTGAGACGCAGACGCCTCTAGAATAAGGGAGTGTTCTTTGCGTGGGTGGCAAGCTCTGGTCCCAAGAGTTTTCTGTTCCTTTGGCCGATGCTGGCACGGAAATTCCACATGTGCGCTGCTAACTCTTAGCGAAGGCGTCGCCCCCAGGAACAGGGTAGGGGACAGGCTGCAGGTCTCAGCGCCTGCTCAGGCAGATTAGCCTGTGCTGTGACCGGCCGGGCCCAGTGCGTCTGACGGCCGTGGCTGCTGACGGACACAGCCGGCGGGTGTGGGCTGGCGGGGAGGGGAGGGGTGCAAAATCAGGTCCCGGCGAGTCTGAGTGTCCCGGAGCGCAGCGCGGTGACCTGGAGGTGAGCCTGGCGGCGGAGGACCCGGGCCTCTGTTTCCTCCCGCGATACGAGCTTGACGGACGTCCAGCTGTGCCCTGGACCTCAGAATCGGAGCCAGCCCCCTCCCCCGCCACGGCCCCCCGCACACTGCCCTGCGGGGGAGGGGCAAGGAGGTCGCGCCTGCCCATCCGGGCCTGATGCACTTGACCCAACCCCCAGCCCAACCTCCCACAGTCCTTGAGAAGGACCCAAGACCCTGCAAAGCCGGAAAGAGCCTCTGAATTGCCCCGGTGCGAGCCCACCGCGTCAGGTTGCTCCGACTTCATCCCGATTCTCTCCACACCATCTCGTGGACACACAGAGCCTCGTCTTCAGGTTCCAAGTTGTCAGAGGCTGCGCTTCACGGAGAAACTCCATGTCCCGGCGCACTGAGCCGGCTGCGCACAACCGCTCCCGGTCAACGCTGGACCACAGGGCTGGCGCCCCCTTCTCCCGCAGCTCAGGCTGGAGCACCCCTGGTCTCCCGCCATAGGAACTTGACTCTCCCGAGAGTGACCCTGAGAGGGGAAGCGGTCAGGCGAGTCCAAGGTGCCGGTTTCCTGCTCTACAACTCTGGGTGGGAGGACCTAAGCCTCAGTTTCCCCATCTGCAAACCGCAAGGAAGTCCAACCTCCTGGGAGGGTCGTCGGAAGGATGAGCCAAAACGTGGCGACCCGCGCAGGCCTAGCATGCAGCAGGTGCTCAGTAAGTGACCGGCGCGCCCCCCTAGACGGTGGGAGGGGGTGCAGTGGGAGGACACTGAGCCCAGGACCACGCGCAGTACACGGAGGCCGTCAGCCCCGCACAGCCAGACGCTCTGAAACACAGCAGATGAGACAGGTGCAGCCGGGCGTCGGCACTGATTTGTCTTCCGAGGGTGTCAGAGAGGGCAAGGTGGCCCCCCTCTGCCCAGCTGTCCAGGAGAGAGTGGAAGACGCTGTGAACGAAGCAGTCCTGGACTGTGGCAGGGACGCGGCCACCCACACCCACGTGAGCCCATGCCACAGCGAGCCCTCAGTGCCCCCTTCAGCGGGACGCCGCGGCCTCTCCAGCCCCAAGGCCACGTTCCCGGGGGGCAACCTCCCTTCTGGCCTCCTATGCACCTCGTCCTTTCACTCCCGCTGTTTTCCAAAAGGCAGCTGCGCCGACAGACGCTACATCCTGACCATCATCTTGGTCCTCATGGTGGCCGGGGAGCCTCGAGGGGGGCCCGAGCGCGGCCTGCTGCCCTCCCGAGAGGGCAGGACCCGCCTCCCTCACCTCCCGCAGTCACCCCGCGGCCCCCGGCCGCCCCGAAGCCTCGCCTGCCTGCCCCGATTTTGTTACAGAAAGTCAGCTGCTCAGAGAGCCCCTGAGTCCCCGCTCGGCCGCCTTAGGAACATCAGACAAAAGCAAACAATCTCTCCACTTCTGCCTCTGGCAAGCCTGTGTTTACGGTGGACATGAGACATCGCCACCCACAGGCGCGACGTGCATCCTGGCCCCGGGCGTCCGACGCTGGGGAGCAGGCACCTAGCCTCCGGTGACTGGTTGCTAGGAAACCAAATCGGACGTCTCCTGACCTCCGTCCACACCAGTCAGTGGGGGCGGCAGAGAGGGTGGGCCTGGAGGAGCCGGCTGTGCGCTGTGTGGTCTGCACGTGGGGACAGACGGACAGGCAAGGCACCGCTTACACAAAGGAGGGCGGCCTCACGTGCCCTTGGCAGACCCTCGCCCCAGCACACGAGGAAGGGGTTTCTCTCCCCACAGGTGGGGAAAGCAGGGGCCAGAGAGGGCAAGGTGGCCCCCCAAGGTCGCATTCGGGAGCACAGCTAGACAAGCTGTGGCCTCCAGATTCCCAACGGGGGCTCGGCTCGCCCGGCAGTGCCTCCTGTGTTTCCTGCCAGGACACCCTCTCTTCCAGGGATTCTTGCTCAGCAGTAGAGGGATCTCCCATCCTCCAGACCTGGTCACAAGGATGAGGATGGCTCTGGGTTTCCATCCTTCCTGTGTCAGGTCAAGTGTGCTGTGTGACCTCAGGCAAATCACACACCCTCTCTGAGCTTAACTGCCTCAACTACAAAATGGGGGTAGGACCACTCAGCTGGCAGTGTCGTTGTGAAGGCTGAGGTGATGGGGTCAAACTCAGGCCCAGGGTCTGGCACCAAGGGGGACCTACTGAGCTGTACCTGGAGCCACTGCTTGGATCCTCAGTATAGGAGGAGAGAATGTTCAGGACTTTGCTCCCCTGGGCACATCCTCTGTGTCACAATGTGGAGGGCCAAGCTCAAGTTATCTGCTTTTCCTGTGCTCTGTCCCCTTCGGGTGACCCTCATGGGGAGCTCATCTCTGGGGCAGGAAGACAGTGACAACACAGTGACAGATAACCCTGGTGGACTTTTTAATTTCCTGGGGAAGGGCCACCTCATTCAACCTGGTGGGGTTGGTGATGCCTCCTTGGAGGAGGTAACCTCTGGGTGGGTTTTGTAGTATGAATAAGAGTTCGGCAACCACTACAGCAGATATTTTGTACATGACGGGATTTTTTACAGTAAAATCTGGCACGTTATGTTTATTCTCTTCTTTTTAAGCAATTATTTCTCAAGCGCCACTGTGTGTCAAATCGGTGTTGAACACATGGGACGTACCGTAAAGAGGGCTGAGTCTTCATCGTCACGGGTCCCGGAAGGCAGTACCAGGAGAATGACCTGGAGAGGCCCTTACTGGACGGAGTAAACCCGTCCTCCTGCCCACAGCCCAGCTGGCCCTGCCCTCTGCTTGGAAACAGCAAATGAATGTGCACATCCCTCCACATGGGCCCCCTTACCCTGCAGAGACTGTGCTAAATCAGACCACAGCATCGCTGTGACAGCCTTGGCCCTGAAAGGACCTGAGTTTAACTAGGCATTAAAAATAAAAACTCGTGTAAGTCTGTGCCGGATCTGCTGACCTGCACCATGTGGATATTCAGCGGGACAGAGTGGCAGCGGGGCCCCTGCTCTGCGTTCATTCCGAAGGGCCCCTGTGCTCGTTCTAGCACAGGGAACGAACAGACTTCTTGCCCACAGGGCGAGGGGTCAGGGTTTCGAGGTCATTGAAGCCCTGGGCCCCCATAGTAGCCAGGGCCTTTTGGGACAGCTCAGGCGCAAGGAACAAGGGGCCAAAGTGTCCCAGGAGGGCAGGGCAGGGAGCCTCAGAGCCGCAGGGAGCGGAGCCGGGGGCTGTCGGTTCCATGGGCTGCAGCCAGCTGCTTCTAGAACCAGGAGAGAGAGGTGCTCTGAGCCTGTTTACCGGGCAGCCTGTGTGGGTGGGCTGCCTTCAGCCCAGCCACCCTGCAGCCAGCTCCGGGCAGAGACCACAGGGGCGGGAGAGCCAGGCCAGGGGTCCAGGGCCACCTGCTCCACCACTGGGCTGCACGTACAGGGTGACTCTGGGGCCAGGACTGCCGCCCTCGGTTCCTGAGAAACAGACACAGCTGAGACCCAGACTCTCCTAGGACCCCGGCCCCGAGTAAGGCAGTGGCTTGCCCGGTGGGGACGGGGGCAGGTTTTCCCCACATGTGCGGGTCTCCCTGAGTGACAGTGAACTTCCACGCAAGGCAGCGTGAACGCGAGGGAACGTGGGAGAGCTTTTAAGAGCTTTCTTTGCAGCTGGGAGCGGCGGGCAGGCATGGTCGCTGGGGTGGGGGTGAGTCTCTCCCTCGCGTGAGGGTCACAGTCAGGCAGAGGGACTGTTCCTCGCGCCCTGCAGTAAGGGGCCGGTGCCCTCCCAGCAAGCGGCTGCCCCCCAAACCTGTGCACCCCCACCTCACGCCCCAGGGACACAGAAGACCAGCTCCAAGAAGACGCCCAAATCCCCCTGAAGGCAGCCTCGCGACTCGGGAAATTTCCACATTTTGTGCAGCTTAAAAAAATTACCCAGACGATGCTAACGTGACACATTTAAAGCTGCGAAGGTCATTTTACGATGCAGTAAAGCACACGGCTATACGTTCCCGGATAAATCACATTCCCTGCTGTGTCGCGACCACATGTGTTTAAGCCTGAGAAGCACTTCAGTTTCAAGGACAGAGAGACCGGTGGCCAGGAGCAGGCTCCTCGACCGCAGACCGTGGCTCCGTCCAGCTGGAAGGGGTCCACGGACCGCCGGGGCGGACGCCTTCCCCCGGAGCCAGGGCTGAGCGCCGCCGTGCGAG